GCAAAAAGACGTCATGCGCCGATAGGGCTCCGAATCCGGAGACTTTGGCCAATCGTGGTATCCACGAAGGGCGCTCCAAATCCGGAGGCTTTATCGGCCCAAAGACGTCATGCGCTGATGGGGCTCTGAATCCGGAGACTTTTTGGCCAATCATGATATCCACGAAGAGCGCTCCGAATCCGGAGGCTTTATTGGCCCAAAAACGTCATGCACCGATGGGGCTCCGAATCCAGAGACTTTTTGGCCAATCGTGATATCCACGAAGGGCGCTCTGAATCCCGAAGCTTTATCGGCCCAAAGATGTCATGCGCCGATGGGGCTCCGAATCCAAAGACTTTTTGGCCAATCGTGATATCCACGAAGGGCGCTTCGAATCTGGAGGCTTTATCAGCCTAAAGGCGTCATGTGCCAATGGGACTTCGAATCCGAAGACTTTTTGGCCAATCGTGATATCCACGAAGGGCGCTCTGAATCCGAAGGCTTTATTCGGAACACTTTTGAACTGGTTTGCACAATGAGTAAACAGGGATCTTTGCATTACAAAAGTGAAAAATGTACATGGTGAGCCATTCAGAACCAATATCATTCCCCACAGGTCAGGTCTAATGATTGAATTTGCGTAAGTACGTTGAATTCCAAGGCCGTGGCAGACTTCTTCCAAACATGTCTTTGAGCCGATATGCCCTCACTCTTGTGATCGAATCAATCTGATAGGGGTTGTTCCAATTTGGACCCAATTTTTGATCCGTCGGTTTCTTAGCAGCTGTGAGTACCTTCTTCAGGACCAACTCTCCTGGTATGTAACGGCGCAACTGAACACGTTGATTATATGAATTAGCAAGTTGTTGCTGATACCGCACCATGGATGCAAGGGCACGGTCTCTACGTTCTTCAATCAAAATCAAATCCAGGGCCAGCATCATGTCGTTTTGGCCCATATCAAAAACTTTCGATTTTAAGGTCCGGAGGCCGATCTCCAGGGGTATGATTGCCTGCGTTCCAAAGCATAGAGCAAATGGCATTTCCCTATTAGATCGTCTGGGCATAGTTCGAAGAGCCCACAACACATTCGGTAATTCTTCGACCCATTTCCCTTTAGCTTTCTCCAGCCTTTTCTTGATGCCGTGTAAGATGGTTTTGTTAGAGGCTTCAGCTTTACCGTTGCTTTGAGGATAGGCCGGGGTGGAGAAATAAGGCCGAATACCATATTTGCTGCACAATTCTCAGTAGATGCCACAATCGAACTGGGTGCCGTTGTCTGAGATAAATGCTCTTGGAATGCCGAATCGCGTTATGATGTTTCTCCAAACAAAACTCTTCACGTCGAAATCTTGGATGTGCGTTAGTGCCTCCGCTTCTACCCATTTTGCAAAATAATCTGTCGCGAGAATCAAAAATCGCTTGTTACTCGGGGCACAAGGCAATGGTCTGACGATGTCAAACCCCCATTGGGCGAACGGCCAAGGGCTAGTTATGGAGCTTAGCTCTTCTGCAGGCAGGTGGGTCAAATGAGAGAACTTTTGGCACTGTTCGCACTTGTTCACATAGCATTCGGCATCAGCTCTCATTGTCAACCAGTAATACCCTTGTGTTATAGCTCGATGGGCCAGAGAGCGCTCGCCAGAATGGGCGCCACAATTGCCCTCATGTATTTCAGTCAGAAGCTCTTCGACTTTGTCCAGGTGTACACATTCTAGGTATGGACCAGAAAAGGATTTTTTATAAAGCTTTCATTGCGGATCCAAGTAATATCGCAGGGCTTTGTTTTGCAGCTTGTGCATTTCTTTTTTGTCCGCTAGGAGCTGTTCAGAAGATAGGAATGCAGCAATGGGATCCATCCAACTCGGTCCAGCTTCTATAACATTGACCTGGACTTCCTCTGAAGGGCCAATGCTCGGCTCTGGGATGAAACCTACTTCGATGGTCCGTTTAATCTCTGAGTTAATGGCGGAGGCTAGGCAGGCAAGGGCATCTGCATGTGTGTTCTGATCACGTGTTATATGGTTCAATTCATGATGGTCAAATTTTGCCAGCAAGGAGTTGGTCGTTTTCATGTAAGCTGCCATACGGTCGTTTCTTGCCGCGTACTCCCCCTTTAGCTGATTGATCACCAGTTTTGAATCGCAAAACACAAGCAAACGTCGAGCACCCAGAAGATGTGCATTCCGCAAACTGGCTAGAAGGGTTTCGTATTTGGCTTCGTTATTTGATGCTTCGAAGCCGAGCTTAACGGCCTGCTCAATTATTGCGTCGTCAGGGGCCTTAATTATAACTCCGACACCACTGCCCCGCTGATTGGATGATTCGTCACAGTACAACTGCCAAATGTCCCCAACATAAATTCTCCAGTTCAGCTCCGGTCGAATCTCATCGGATTTGAAGTAGACTAGACCCCCAATGAATTCGACAACAAAGTCGGGAAGCACCTGTCCCTTGATTGAGGTTCTAGGTAAAAACTGAATGTCGTACTGGTCGAGTTCAAGAGCCCACTTTGAAACACGTCCTGATGCTTCTGCACTTCGTAGTACTAATCGGAGGGGATAATCTGTTAGCACCCCAATGCTGTGTCCCTGGAAGTAATGCATCAGTTTTCTTGCCTCCATGACTAGGGCTAGGATGAGTTTTCCCAGCGGAATGTAGCGTGTTTCGGTGTCAACCATTGCCTTGCTCACATAATACACTGGCCGCTGCTCCCCGAGCTCTTCCTTTATTAGTACGGCGCTGACGGCCCTATCGGAAACTGCCAGATACAAAATGAGCGGGTCACCAGCAGCAGGTGTTGTCAAGAGTGGTACTGAGCGGAGGTAGGTCTTGAGGTCGTTAAAAGCGGCTTCGCATTCGGCGGACCATTCAAAAGCCTTGCCCTGCTGTAGTGTGTGAAAGAATTACTGGCAGCGATCTGTGGACCGACTGATGAACCTGTTGAGTGCGACGGCCATCCCTATTAACTTTTGAACTTCCTTGATCGATCGAGGGGAGCCTAGTTCTAAGATTGCTGGGATTTGCCTTGGGTTGGCTTCAATTCCTCGGTGGTTGACAATGTATCCTAAGAATTTGCCAGAGCCGATCTCAAACGCATATTTAGAAGCGTTCAGTTTCATTCCATATTTGCGTAAAATGCCGAATGTTTCTTTCAGATCGGCTATATGATTCTGCTCTTCCTTGGACTTGACCACCATATCGTCAATGTACACTTCCATAGTGTGGCCGAGTTGCTCATTGAACATGGCGGTGACCAGTCTTTGGTAGGTTGCCCTTGCATTCTTCAGCCCAAAAGGCATAACCTTGTAGCAGTAGGTTCCTCTTGGGATGAGGAATGTAGTTTTGACCAGGTCCTCTGGATGTATGGCGATTTGATGGTAGCCTCTGTAAGCATCGAGGAAACTCATATGTTGATGGCGTGCCGTCGTGTCTACTAGTTGGTCAATTCTGGGTAGGGGAAAACAATCCTTGGGGCAGGCTTCGTTCAGGTCCATGAAATCGACGCACACTCGCCAAGTCCCATTTTTCTTTTTCACCACCACTGTATTAGTAAGCCATGTCGGGTAGGTCACTTCCCTGATTGCCCTGGCGTCAAGCAGCCTGTCAACCTCTTTAACGACGACGGCAGTGTGCTCTGCGGCTGACCGCCGGCTTTTCTGAATGATCGGCTTGCACTTAGGGTCAACATTCAAACGGTGCTGTGAGATGGACGGATCTATACCCGGCATCTCATATGGAGTCCACGCAAAGGCATCGAGGTTGCTGAGCAGGAAAGAGATTAGCTGCTGTCTGTCAGCCTGATTCAAGGATTCGCCGACCATGAAGAATTTGTCTGGGCTGCCATCGATTTCAACTCGGTCTAAGCCTTCCGTGGCCTTTTCATTTGGGAGCCGCCCAACATCGTCGAGGCTCTCTCGACCTGGCACCTCAATAGAATTCACCTACAGCTCCTTCGATGTTTTTTCAGCAAGGAGATAACATGCTTGTGCCGATTTCTGGGAGCCACGGATTTGCTCAATACCGCGTTCTGTCGGGAAGTGTAGCAGCTGATGATAGGTACTTGGCACGGCCTGCATTGTATGCAACCAAGATCGCCCCATGATGAGATTATATGGCGACGGTAGCTTGACGACTAAGAATTCTACATCCACTGTTCGGGAGCCTGCTCGAACGGGTAGTGTGATATTCCCCAACAGGTACTCTGGATTGGCGTTAAAGTCGAATAGTGGATACAGGGACGGAGAGAGATCCGATTCAGAGAAGTCGAGTTTGGTAAATGTCTTATAGTACATAACCTCTAATGTGCTCCCCGGATCAATGAGTACGCGCTCAACTGTGAACCGGTTTACGCGTAACTCAATTACCAAGGAATCAATATGGGGCGGTGTTACTCCGGCCAAATCCGAATCATCAAAAGTAATGCCCACGGCTTCATGGGGCCGTTTAGCCGGAGTGAGTTGGTTTTGAGGGTCGGAGTTCGACTGAATCGTATGCACCGCCGATGACATTGGCAGGCTGTATATCATGTGGATCACGCTGAGTAGAGGTGAATCCTGTCTTAAGGCTATTGCTTTCACTACAACAAATAAGCCTTTTGGCGACCAAATATTTTGGTCCCTAAAACTACTATTTTGGTCTCTAAAATGATTTTCCTGACAAAATTAATTTTGTCACCAAAAAAGTCACTAATAATGCGTCTAGAAAAGTCTTTAGCGACGAATTTTTGAAAATGTCACTAAAAATGACAATTAGCGACCAAGTTTATATTGTCTCAAAATATTTAATTTTATAAGACTAAACATTTAGTCGCTAATACTTCGTCGTAAAATGTCCCAATTTGGTCGCGAAAAACAAAATAATGCTATTTTTAACGACAATGATATTTGGTCGCTAAAAGATATAAATTTCTCTACAACACATTTTCGTCGCTAAAAATCAAAGTTAAGAATGTTGTAATCATTTAATTTTATAGCTAAAAATGTACAAAATTAAATGTCATCCAATCATATTAAAAAAAATTGACATCCACACATCGAAAACATTTTATTCCCAAACCACAATGAGTATATAAAAAGTAAAATTTTACAAAAATTAAAACTGAAAGTTTCCAAATTCAAATCAAAGTAGTAACCGTTCAAATGAAAAATAGCAACAGTTTCTTCAAAGAGAATATCTAAAAAAGCATTTTCTCAACATCAATGTCATGTTTTATATCAAACAGCATTGGCACAAGAGGCTTCAAGTTGTACTTAGGTGTGACACCCTTTGGACATCCCTGCAACCCAAAATTCAAAAAGAAGAATCAAATAATAAGAATCAACACAACATAAACTCATTAAATAATCAATAGTCATTCATAATCAAATAAATTACAAATAATGAAAAAACAAATTATCTCAGTGTACTTGTAGTAGTAGTGAGCTATAATAAGAATCAACACAATAAGAAAATGAGTCACCTAGAATCAATACAATAAGGTTATCATAATCCAAGCATATTATCATAATCAACCCTTTCAAAGTTGATATTTTATAAACTTATCTCTCTATATAGCAGGTTTACAATAGCAGAAAAGTATATAAAAGGAACCAAGAAGCACTAAATCTAGTCGATTCATTTGGCTAATTCTATAGGTAATATCCCTCATACACCTCAAAGCAGCAAAAACTACAAATAATTAACACGAACAAACCAAGATTTTCAAATCCCACAAGATCTACTAACAAGTGATAATGATTCACAGAAGTAACACTATCTACCAAGAGAGCTAATTGAAATGTTTAAGTGTGAAACAATACTAACATAATAAATTCTTTTACCCCATCAATGTATTGATGTAACCTTCTATTATGAAGTTGCATCCAACTCCTATCCATCCCGAAATCCCTATTATGTAGTACACAAAGACATTATCCTTAAATTCCAATATCTAGTTACTTTCTATATGTGGTCTTAAGGGAGAAACACAACTAAATTCTTGAAGAAGTTTCACTAATATGTATATCTACTTTTGACTATGTGATTCAAATCTATCTGTTGACAAACAAAAATTCAAGGATGTATTGCCAAGGCACACCACATAAAACAAAAGCAAAACATTAGGACACATAATATCTCATTGGTATTTCGGATTCTAATGGTAGTTAAATAAAAAAATAAGTTGGAAAATAATGAAAATGTTGATTTTATTTTGTCGTTTTTGTGTTTCATCTTTTTTTTTATATATAAAACATAAATAAATAAACAGTAACAAAAAAAATAATGAAAAGTTTGAGTCATTTTTTAGAAGTCAAATATTTCTTTAAAACAGTCTACCCATCCAAACTGATGACAAAGCAGCAAAATAAAGGCAAGGAGGAAACCAGTTCAGAATCCACCAACATGGCCAAAAATAATAATAATTACTAACAAAAATAAAAATAAAGAAGAGGAAAGAGCTCATTGAAAAACATACCAAAGATGAAGCAATTATACAACCAAAAACCAGTACAAGAGAATGAAGAAGCCTCTTCCTGCAGTCAATACCCACTTAATGAGAATATATCTTCAATTCTAAGAGGAAATGAGAACACTGCAATGTTAATGAACAAGAGGAAAGAGCAAAATGCAGAAGCAGGTTTCAGAAGAAGACAACTACAACTTCTAACATTGTCAAATTTCCCCTCGTGCATGCAGGAAAAATCATAGTTGGGTGGACAATGGAATTCCATGTAGCTGGTTGTGGAAGGAACACTTTTCAAAAAAAAAAAAAAAATGAATTCACACAAAGCCAATGTTATCACAAAAATGACCTTCTGCAGCTACTTCATAAAGGAACACTGACCTTTTTTCGAATTCTGTGGCATATTGACAACATGCCAAAGACAACCATTGACCACAAATTTTTAGGTTAACTAAACTCATTGTATAATAAGATTTGATGCCCTTGGAGCCATACGGGTATGAAGCAAACATAATTTAATATAAAGTCAAACACTACTTAGATCTTTTGTCATACATATATGAAGCAAACATCTGAAAATTTGTTTAATATGCTCCAAACACTACTTAGATCTTTTGTCATACATATATGAAGCAAACATCTGAAAATTTGTTTAATATGCTCCAAACACTACTTAGATCTTTTGTCATACATATATGAAGCAAACATCTGAAAATTTGTTTAATATGCTCCAAACACTACTTAGATCTTTTGTCATACATATATGAAGCAAACATCTGAAAATTTGTTTAATATGCTCCAAACACTACTTAGATCTTTTGTCATACATATATGAAGCAAACATCTGAAAATTTGTTTAATATGCTCCAAACACTACTTAGATCTTTTGTCATACATATATGAAGCAAACATCTGAAAATTTGTTTAATATGCTCCAAACACTACTTAGATCTTTTGTCATACATATATGAAGCAAACATCTGAAAATTTGTTTAATATGCTCCAAACACTACTTAGATCTTTTGTCCTATCTACAACCATTGAAATGAACAAATTAAATGAAGTGAAATGGATGAAAAAGAAAGCACTTCTACAGTGAAGCCAATCAAATAGCATGGCAAATCCATCTTATAGACAGTGCAAGTGCATGTGCAACTCTCACATCCATATGAAATCACTATCTTAGTTTCAAATAAGAAAAAAGTTTTGGTCACCACCGCATCAGGACCAAAACTACTAACATCTTTTAAACATTGATCGCCGAAATCACAAGTCTATTATTCTATTCAATATCTCTGTACTCAGTGCAGTGACCTCCATTTCATCGCTTTAATAGGAAAACATAATTATAGAGTTTTTATGTTACACAAAACCAAAGAATTACTACCTTGGATCTTGACCTCTATTTCCTTCTCCATCAATTGCTCTTGATTGAAATGTTTCAGAAATGGAATAAGTGCATGTAGCAAATACATGGAGTGGTGAACCTTTTCATCTTCGTTGATCTTTAATTTTAAATTGTTCAGTTCCTACAGCGAGCCACGAAGAGCATATAATATATATATTTTGTATAAGTTGAGGACACTAAGAAGCGCGGACACGTACACGACAACTCGTAAATTTTTTAATTTTCAAAAAATGCAGAATCCAACATTTTGGTAACATGCAAAACATATAAACTTTATATATTTATCATGTCATATTTCTTAATATTATATATTTACTTGTATCAAATATTTAATTTCATTAAATTCATTGACCTTGGATATGCTATTTCAGTATTAGAAATATATACATATATTATTAAAAAATGGTCGCAGTGTGTCCCCACGTGCCTACAACATGTCCCCATCATGTCCTAACTGACACAGTGTGTCCAAGTCTCTCCAGCATGTCTGAAATGTATCCAGAGCATGTCCAGCACATGCTTGTGTCCAACACATGTCCAACATCAGTACATGACCTCTGGAGAGGTGTCCGTGCTTCGGAGGAAGGAGATCTAGAATAGGCACTGATAGAACAGATCGTGAAATGTCTGAAGCAAAGAAAGCTGACTGACTTTAAGAGATCCATCTAAACGTAAGCATGCTTTGCAATTGCAGTTTCCACAACAAACAAGGCAAGGCTCAGCAATTGCCTCCTCTTTCGTATCAAGATACCTGCAAACATGACAAAATTATTATTAATATCAATCACAACAGAAACTATCAAAAAATTATTCACAAGTTCAACTACAAAAAAGTAACGTAACTATAGTCTGATGACTAAAACCCACAATTACATTATGATCTCAAGTGGAGATGAGTGTATAGGATAATATAATTAGCAAAATAATATATATGATATATCAAAAGAACACTTGACTGTACTTGTCAACTAATTATGATTATACTGACAAGTACCAACATGCAAGTAGAAAGCAAAAATCTCATTTCATGCAACCATCTAAAATATACATCATGTTGTCGTAAATCTCTTTAGCCTTCAATAAAGTAGTGTCATAGAAAGAGATACAACAACTAATAAGCATAGTTTTCAGAACCTTACAATTCATTATTCAATTAAAAATTCCACTTATATTTACATCTACATTTGTCGGCCATTTTGTCAATGGATATCATAAGAATTTTTCAGGCATTTTAAATTGTGTCAATTTAAGAGGTAACAGCCTTAAATAGCTAAAATTTTAAAAATCAAGTTGTTGCACAGATATTCCACAACTATTATAGAATAGTTTTAACAACAAACCACATCATTTTACTTCGATTTCTGCCAAGTTCTATAGCACACATCAGTGCATGATATAGTAGACATTACAAATCCTTATATGCTAAAAGGTAGTATGTGTTAAATGATAGTTAGATCCTTCTTTTGTCATCCTCTCTTCAACTACAAGTCAAAGTTGAATCAGCATTCTAGGGAAACGAATACAACTATACAAGTGAAGCTAAAAACATGGATGCCTACTTATTGTCAAAGAAATGGCATCTTCACAGCTCCATGTCTAGGAAGAGATTGACCAACATATGGAGAGTTTGATACATATGGCCCAGTGATAGACGATTCATTCATCATTCTTATTCTTAGTGAGAGAAAATAGAGAAGAGGCCATATATATATACACACACAAGTTCAATCTATGTAACAGTCAGAAATTGAAAATCAAAAAACAGAAAATGACAGTGTGACACCTGAAAACTCACTGAAACAATAAATTAACAGCCTACGAAATACAGTATTGATTGAACTGTGCGAGAAAACAATTCTTCATCTCCAACACGCATCAGATTAGATATATATATATATATACACATACACATTAAGAGATATATATACACATAAAAAAGTTCAATCTATGAAATAATAAGAAATTGAAAGTTCGAATTGGAGCTCTTACAGGTCGATTACGGAGATCGATTACGATAAGAAATTGAAAGTTCGAATTGGAGCTCTTACAGGTTGATTACGGAGATCGATTACAGAGAGAGAGAGTGAGAGAGAGGCACCAAAATTTGAAGACGATGAGCTCTCAATCTCCTTGGAGCTCTCAACTTTAGGGCTGAAGATTGAGCAACCCGTTGAAGAGGAGGGAATGAGCAAGTTATGACTGAAGTGTGGCCTCGACTTTTTAATCATTAAAATGATAAAAATATTTCGTCCCAAAATGTTTTTAATGGATAATGACGGAAATATTTGGTCCCTAAAGATATTAATAACATATTAGCAACTAAATTTATTGGTCTAAAAAAATTATGTAAATATTAAGTGAGAATATTAATAGTCATTGTTACAATCTTATATGTAAATTATCATGGTTTTAAAATTGTTCCTAAAAGATTATTTTTAGCGACCAAATTTAATTAGTCCTTAAATGTTGGTCTCTAAAAGGCTAATTCCTTGTAGTGTTTGGTCGGGTTGCCTTTTCGGACGTACTGTTTGAGCCGGCCATCTTGTACCAATTCCTCCAAGTGATCCTTCAGTGCATAACGACTCTCAGTATCATGGCCATGGTCCTTGTGATACTCACTTCGCCTATCCCGTTTTCTCGTGTCAGTAGGTCCTACCATTTTCGACGGTCATTTGAAGAACGAAAGGTGTTGAATTTTTGACATAACCGCACTGATTGGCTCTATTAACTCTGTATATTTCTTGTCAATGCGCCTCGTGCGCCTACTGTCAACTTGCAGTTGTCCATTTTTTCGGTGGGAGCATTGGTCGCTTGATCGGCGGGAATCCCGTCTCTTGTCTCGTTTCGCCCGATGACATGGTTCAGGGCTCTAAGGTGCTACGGAATTTAACGGCTGAGCAATTTCAGCCTACAGCAGGAGCCATCTTGTTGGTCACATTGCCAGCTTTAACCCTCAAGGCATCATCTTCTACTTTACAGTATTCTTCAACTTTCTTCATCAACGACCAAACTATTTTGGGGGCCCGTCTGGTCAAAGAGCTGCGGAGGGCACTGTCAGGATGCAGCCCCATCTTGAAGATGGTGATGGTCATAGAGTTATTGCAAGCATTGTCTACCAGATTGAAACATTCCCAATACCGCGCTGAGTAGGCACGAAGGGTTTCCCCCGGTTGAATCTGTATTGCCTAGAGGGAATCAGCTTGCTTTGGATGGACCTCATTAGTGATAAACCTTGCTCTAAAGGATTTTTGGAGTTGGTGGAAGCTTTTAATCGAAGCCGGCTCCAGTTTGTAATACCACCTGACAGCTAGTGATCCCAAACTGCTCGGAAATATTCTGCACATCAAAGCCTCGTTATCTGCATGCAATGTCATGGCTTGCTTGTAATGGCGAATGTGATCGGTGGGGTCTGATTTTCCGCCATACAGGGTGAATGACGGTGCTTTGAATTTCTTTGGTAGCACTGCCTTTGCAATCCGTCGTATAAAAGGATCGTGTTGATCTTCATCCGAACTGTTTTTTCTTCGCTTATGCCTTATACGGGGACTCTCTTCAGAAGAACTGGAAGTTTCAGATCGTCCCTTCTTCTTGGGCTCCGGGGATAATGAGTCAGAGTCGCTATTAGTGTCTTGATGCCGGGCTTGGGATCGTCAACCACCTACCCTCACAGGTCGTTCCGGGCCTTGGTGTACAGCTTGTTTGGACTTCGCCACCTCCAAGGCCAAATCCTGATGGAGATGTTCGTTCTCTGCGATCATGTTTTCCAACCTTTGTTCATTTTTCTTTGCTTGTTCCATGATCGCTTGCATTGCTTCATGCTCTGGAGTCGAGGGTGAGGCGAAGTTCAAAGCGCGTCTTGCGGGGATAGTCTTCGGTCCAAGTATGTTTGTTGGAGTGAGGTCGTCTCTCTGCCTGGTTTCATCAGTGATTATCGGAGGGTCTTCCGTTACGCCCGCTATGGATGTGTTTGAGTATTCCCACAGACGGCGCCAATTGTGGAGAAGTGGTTTAGAAGTACTTTTCTGATCCTGGGGGACGCTCTTGATCCTCTGCTAGTCACCTGAAAAGGAATAAACACTCCGATCGGGGGTGCCGGAATTAGCACTCCGACGGGCTAGTCAGTCTCAACACTCAAGATTACTTGTATTCTAAGTTAAATATAATGGTTCTCACATACCTCTCTCTAGCTGATGTTCCTCTATTTATATCTTTTCTTTCTTGGGCCTCGGGATTAGGTCCATTTTTGATTTGCTATTCGGCATATTTTGTAGCAAATCGCTCTTCACTCGGCCCCTTGCTTAACCGGTTATTTGGCCGAGTAGGGTTGGATTCGAGCATGCGAGCCAACGCCAAATGCCACATATGTCAACTCTCCCAAGTCCGACTATCCAGAATCTCTACGATTCCGAATACTCGGCCCCCACACCTTCAATCAAAGTGTATTTACATTGATTGTGAGGAATGGTTCTAAAATATTCCTTCTATCCAAACAATCCTCCACTTTATCCTTGTTTCAATGCTTGAAACAAGAAATACTATGGTCGGGGATATCGGAATTAGCACACTGACAAATAAATTAGCTCGTGTATAAGAAAGGGTGTGTCCTCAGTGAAAGAGAGTTTTTGTGGGTTTATAGTGCATACATTTCTTCTTCAACTCCTCCTCCTTTTATAGCCATTTAGTGTAGATATTTCTTACGTAACTTGACATGTTTGTCATTATTACTTGAATGTCAAGACCCAGTTTCCTACTACACCTTTTAAAAGAGACAGCTTAGGCCCATTATAACTCTTGGTGCCAATGTAAGCTAATTCTATCGTCATATCTTATTCAACATACCTTTTAGTCCACGAACGTACTGTTTGGTGTTAAGCTCTCGACAAACCCAATGGATCTGATTGAATTTAGGCTTTAAGATGGATGGACTTAGATGTATTATTTGCTGATTTTTGTGCAAAAAAATTACTCGGCCCACACATTCATAATTAAGGATGTCAAGTAAATCAATCTTGTGTTTGAAGCACTTTATGGGACTCCCTGCCATACCACAAACATAACAAGCAATCTTATTACGTCCTCTTTTTCTTTTCTTTTTTTAGATTATTTTAAATGTATACACTTATTTTAAATGTTAGAACATGTAGTCAATTATGCATTTTTTAAATTGAGAAACTGATTTGACTTTGTTAGGTAGTTAAGTCACAAAGAATGACTTACTTAACATGAATTGTAATCTCACATTGGGAATACATACACTACAACATTGTTTTAGTTTAGCGACATTTGAAAGTGTCACAAAACTATTCTTCTAATGACATTTTTTAATCTTGTGGCATTTTAAACAAGTGTCATTTATACCCGTGCCACGGTAGATACTAGTGGCAGTTCAATGACACTTGCAAGTGCTACTACACCATTATGGCTAAAAACTTTCAATGACACTTTAATGTCATGGTAGATACTATTCATGACGCTTTCAAGTGCCATTATGGATTTGTAATGGCGCTTGTTATGCCACAATTGATATTTTTAACAACTTCATAAATGCCACTAAACCCAATTCATTTGTGCCATTAAATGGATATAAGTGACATTAGAGCTTATTCTAATGACACTTTGCAAAGCTACTACCACTATTACAAAATGCTATTTATTTGTTCTTTTCATTGACACTTTTAAAAGCCATAACTAAGCATGCGTAAATCCTTGTAAAAATTGAATTGATTTTATAAACAATTGAATATTAATTGCCACATCCTATATTAATTTAACATCCATTTATCCTGTAATATTTTCATAATAATAAACAAACATTACCACCATAGGATCATCACATCAAAAACAAAACAAAAAAAATTCAAACCACAATCATTTTTTTATATTGCAATAAAAATCATAATTAAAATTATAAAATATTCTACCACACTAACAAAGTTAAAGCAAAAAAAAATTAAAAAATTAAAAGAAAATTATTCCAACCATAAGTTCTGAAAAGCCATAGTGATATCCATCTTCCAGAGAGACATTATCAAAACAAATTCAGTTCCCTCAACCTCACTTGTATAAACATTCTCGGTTAGCATCCATAACTTGCGAAATATGCATCCAAAAGATAAATATATAAAGGTAATTGAAACTATATTAAGTTAATATAAATTTGTTAATGAAATTAGTATTTACAAAAGAAATATATCACAAATGGAGTAGGCCATGCAACATGAACTCCAATAACTTGTCCAATTGTTTTGACAAGTCCATATGATCGGATCAAACTCTCATTAGGTTTGACTGGCACTTGAACATGTATCTCCCAATAGTCAGGTCCTAGTTCTTCCCCTTTTACTTCTTTAGATGGGTCTGTGCTTTTAAGTACTCCGATTGCAACTGTTTTTGTTAACCTAATGATACTTTTTAGAACAACTATATCTCTCGCCTGTAAATCAAGATTTAACTGCTTAAGTAATTATATATTTACAATTAATAAATAATATTTAAAAAATAAACTAGTACAAAGTGCCAGAGTGAAGATGATCAAAACTGAAAGTGATATGCATTTCTCTAGTAGATAAGCTAGCCACATGATTTAATCACTTAATTGGTTCACCACACTGCAACAAATTATATAAAGTAACAACCGTAAGTCTTTAGACTATATCAAACAATAGCATAAAAAATCAATAACAACCAAAGACACCAATCAACAACAATCAAAATCATGCCCCATTATCAATATTAGGATCCCCTAAACTCAACAATGTAAATCAAATGTAATTGTGAAAAATGACAATCAACTAATTACTTTCAAGCAAGATTTTGAGGGAATCGGAAAGAGCTCATGCGGTAATAAATGATTAAGAGATGTCTTGTTGAAGCTTCACAAGAAAATTAAAAATAAATAAATAACAATCAACAACAATCAAACTCAACAATGTAAATCAAATGTAATTGTGAAAAATGACAATCAACTAATTACTTTCAAGCAAGATTTTGAGGGAATCGGAAAGAGCTCATGCGGTAATAAATGATTAAGAGATGTCTTGTTGAAGCTTCACAAGAAAATTAAAAATAAATAAATAAATAAAGTACAAGTTTCGTCATGTCATGGTTTTTACTATGTAGTACAT